CCTTTTTTAATACGTATCACCAGAAATTAACTCAATTAAAATTATTCAAAAAAGGTTTACCCTCTTTAAAAAAAATTTCTTAAGTCACGAAGTCCCGGGAATTCCCGGGATTTTGACTGTAGGCTGTCTCGTGTCCCGGGACTTTGAAATTGTCGGGAATTCCCAAACCCTAGTAGTAAGTGACACCCTACTACCTGGGTGTAGGTAATTTGTTATGCTCAAATTTGTTACCTTGTTGGTACCAAGGTATAAAAGTTACTAAAGCATTATACTTAGCATGCCCTTTTTAAGTTTGTAACCGAGTTCATTGTAGACCTTGTTATTAAAGACACTTTGGAAAGAGGGTTAAGAGAGTAATATTTTTTTATTCGTGTTTCAGTTAATGAATCACTGGAATCGGCTCTTGATAGAGAAATTCCCGTTATTTACATTACATATTGTATATAATAGTTGTGATTTGAAACTATTGTGAAACAAAAAATTCAGCTTGTTAGAGAACGAGATATAATACAGTGCCAGTGTAAAGATAGTTGGACAAAGCTGTTGACGCTCTGAATTTTTTAAAAGCCAATTTTATTAAATCAACAATGAAGTCTAATTAACGTGTTAGTTGATTATTTAAAAAAACTGATTTATGACTGTGGTTTATTATTTAAATTTAGATTATTTAATTATGAAACAAATCTGTGATTCTAAGATTTAACAATGTTGTGATTATGACCAAAGATTAGATACTAGAATTACTAGATAAAAGTAAAGTTACTAAGAACTAGTATAATTTTTAACTAAGTTTGTTTTAAAACTATAAGATTTAACTGCTTAAAAGTGAGTGCGTGTGGTTAAAAGATATAGAGAAAGCAATTATAAGGACTGAAGTTAACGTTAAAGTTAACCAGATTAATTTTCTGTTTAATAAGTGTTGATTTTTTACAAAAAAAAAATGCCTTTTTTAATACGTATCACCAGAAATTAACTCAATTAAAATTATTCAAAAAAGGTTTACCCTCTTTAAAAAAAATTCTTAAAAGTCACGGAAATCCCGGGAATTCCCGGGATTTTGACTGTAGGCTGTCTCGTGTCCCGGGACTTTGAAATTGTCGAATTCCCAAACCCTAGTAGTAAGTGACACCCTACTACCTGGGTGTAGGTAATTTGTTATGCTCAAATTTGTTACCTTGTTGGTACCAAGGTATAAAAGTTACTAAAGCATTATACTTAGCATGCCCTTTTTAAGTTTGTAACCGAGTTCATTGTAGACCTTGTTATTAAAGACACTTTGGAAAGAGGGTTAAGAGAGTAATATTTTTTTTTATTCGTGTTTCAGTTAATGAATCACTCGAATCGGCTCTTGATAGAGAAATTCCCGTTATTTACATTACATATTGTATATAATAGTTGTGATTTGAAACTATTGTGAAACAAAAAATTCAGCTTGTTAGAGAACGAGATATAATACAGTGCCAGTGTAAAGATGATAACACGTTGTGCGTTACAGAGGGAAGCGTCATTCCGAGACACCTCAGTCTCGGTCAGCGAAGATGTTTCGCAGCGAAGGCAAACCATCATCAGTTTCCGGATCAGGAATGCAGCCTTCCTCGTTACACAGCACACGGAGTCCACCGGAACTAAGAAAATGGCTCCGCAGGTATTTTTTTAAATTGCTGTATACGATTTTAAAAGTATAATTAGATATACTTCCCACAGCCGGGCACAGGTCACCTCAAATTTCGGAGTTTCATTTATTGATGGTATTATTATTGCCTTTAGCAATAAGTTTTAACATCTTCGGATCTGATATATTACCATTAGGTAGCATAGTAGTCAAAAACTGACTCTTATAAGTTTTATAAATTAGATTGCCGTAGCAAATTACAATATATCTTTTACTAGCAATCCGTCCCGGCTTTGCACGGGTGATCTCTGGATCACGATAACTTACCGCGTCCAAATGTGAATATTATAAACGATCTAGGGACCCATTCAAATTCACACAATAAATGTCATTAAAATTGTCAAGTTTTAATTTGGAGCAAACCGAGCCAGCTGACTTTGATTCTGACGATAGCGCACGTGATAAGACATTCAATCCAAGGGTAGAAGAAATTTCTGAAGAGAGCCTAAGCTCTTCTGAAAATATTGGGATGTATCAAGAAAATGCTAGTAATGATGTATTAAATACAAGAAGGAAACGGAAAGGACAAAACTTGCACAAAACAATTCAGATTAAAAGAAACAAAGGCCAATCTTATGAAACAAAATCAGGAAAAAATATTCCGTCTAGAAAAAGTTACCGCCTTGTCAGATTGCTGTAAAGTGTCGTAATAAAATTAGTAATAGATAATCAAACGATACTTTTTGATGAGTTATGGGCATTAGCAAATTACAATAAGCGTTCGGAATATCTATCATCACTGATTTTCGATGCACCAAAAAAAAAAAACAACGCATACGTAATACTGCCGGAGAGCCTAAACCACGAACTATAAACCACGCTTATCATTTAAAAGTAAATGGCCAACTGATTGAGGTATGCAAGGGATGTTTTTTTAAAAACGTTTGCAATTTCTGTGATTTAGATGTGGATAGGCGTGTCGCTGCCGGAAACAAAGTCAATGGTGCCCTGAATGCATTAGTAATAAGGCAAGGCGTGATGAAGAGTGCACGCCTTGCAATACATAACGCAGTGTTGGTACCGACTTTGTTATATGGCAGCGAAACCTGGGTATGCCAGAAGAAGCATAAAAGCAAGTTGAATGCAGTGGAGATGCGATCTCTTCGTAAAATGTGTGGCGTTACCATAGCCGACCGAAAGCGAAACGAAGAGATTCGCAATATGGCAGGATTGAAAGATGACCTTATCACAAAAATTGATAGGGGCGTACTCCAATGGTTTGGGCACGTTGAACGAATGAGTGAAGACCGAATGGTGAAGAAAATATATAGAGCGAAAGTAAATATTAAAAGGTGTCGAGGTAGACCGAGACTAACTTTCGAAGACCATGTGAGCAAATTGCTCGAAGAGGGAGGGTCAAGAGTACTCGGATACCTAGACGTGCATGTATGAAGAAGTTAATGAACCTGAAAGAAGCGAAAGAGGTATGTAAGGATCGTGACACTTGGCGATCTGTTCTCTCTGGCTACCCCGTTAGGGATTGTGCGTGAAGATAAGTAAGTAAGTAAGTAAGTTTGCAATTTCTAATAAATGCATTGAAGTGATTGTCAAGAAACAATCAAAGAGAGTATCTGGGATTACAAGCCCTGATAAACGTGGATCGTTTACTCCATCTAATAAAATTGGTAGTGATGTAGTACAAACAATAAAAGACCATATAAATTCGGATCCTTTGTATGAGTCACACTATAGCCGAAGTCACACTATAGCCGAAGTCACACAAATAGACGATATCTACCATCAGGACTCTCGTTGACATCATATCACATGTATAAGGAAAAGGTGACTAATAATCCTGTATCATATTCATTTTTTGGCAATGTTTTTCGAACAGTGGATTTATCTTTTGAAAAAACCATCGTTGGACACTTGTAATACGTGTGACTCATATAAAATGAAAATTAAATTGGCTTTACCGTCAGATATAGAAAATCCAAAACAAGAACTTGAAGCCCACCAAATACAAGCAGATTCAGCTTATGCAATAAAAAAGAAAGACAAGGAGGAATGTACAGATGCGAAAAAGGGTATTTTTTTGACCTCCAACAATGTCTCCCAACTCCCTTTTTGAAAACCAATATCGTACCTATTTTACAAGCGGCTATTATGGACTTTCAATCTAACTGTATACGATTGCTTTGAAAAAAAAGTTTCTGCTACATGTGGCATGAAGCTGATGGTGGCCGTGGCGCAAATCAAATAGCTTCCTGCCTATTTAATTTTATAAAATCACTTCCATCTACTGTAAAAATAGTTACTTTTTTACTCAGATACATGTGGCGCTCAAAACAAAAATATCCATGTGGCTGCTATGTTTCTTTGCATAAGCAAACTTATACCAGATATACGAATAGATCACAAGTTTTTAATCCCTGGTCATACTCACATGGAATGTGATTCTGTTCATGCTCAAATAGAGCAAAAAAAGAAAAATACTGACATGTCTGTACATTTGCCTAGAGACTGGTACAATTTGGTAAGATTGACAAGTTCAAATATTATTGTGATTATCATGAGAAATGATATGTTTCTTGATTTTGCAAGTTTGTACAAGGGTCCACTGCAATTAAGGAAGGTCGATTCATCTGGAGAAAAGTTTATATGGCATGATGTGAAATGGTTCCGGTACAGTGGTGAAAATGAATCAGGCACAATACAATTTAAAACAAGCATAGACTCGCCTGAATTCGAAAATATTTCTTTTAGTAGAAGAGGCAAAGCAAACGAACCGTAACGACTAAAAGAGATAGAAAGCTGACATCTCAAATACCTTCCTAAGTCATAGGGTAAGTGCACCAATGAATGAACACCCCCCAGTGAATGAACAAAAGTGAGTTTTTTCAATATAATAAGAAAAGTAAACATTTCTACCAAACACTGTATTTTTTTTTCGAGTGGTCTAATTTTTTTTACGTAAACTGGTCACATAAACATTTGCCAGCGACCCGTAGTTACAAAATGGCGACTGCTTAAAGTGGACGTGTTGTGTTGTGTTTCGTGATTGTATGAGCGAGAATTTAGGACTCAGGTAAGACAGTGCATTTTGGTATTAGCGTTGTTCACGTTATATGAGTGACAGTGTAAAGAAAACTGCATAATAAGATAGAACAATGATTATTTTATTCATTAGAAAACAACTTGTTTATAATTTCATGTGTTTAATAAAAATAAAGGGGTGTTCGATTACTAGATCATGAAAGTGAGAAAGTTCTAGTAAATGAACGAGTGTTCATTCACTGGTTCTGGTCTGTTTTGTTACTTTTGGCTAATTTTGCATGTTTCTGTTCTCAGAATTGGTTTATTTTTTGTAGAAAGGTTTAATTATTGATTGTCTACCTTTAGGCCAGTATTCGAACACCCTAGTGTTCATTTACTAGTTTTTAAATCTAATGAATGAACTATAGTATTGTTGCTACGTTCATTTACTGGTTTTCAAAAACCAATGAATGAACTATAGTATTATTGCTACGTTCATTTACTGGTTTTTAAAATCCAATGAATGAATAAATAAACTATTAATGTTTTGTTATATTTCAAGCAGTGATATTTAGTTTTATCTCAGTAATTAGTTACAAAAAAATATTCAGACGCTTCAACTTCAATTTCTCTTTTTTTTTTTAGTTCAAAAATAATGGAATCTACTAAAAAAGAAATACGCAAGATTCCGTTATACTCAACAACAGTTAGAGGAGGCTCTTACCCGTATAACAAATAACGATTTGTCTATTAATAAAGCCAGCAAAATATACGACATACCCAAATCAACGTTAAGTAATAAATTAAATAATAAAGTACCATGGCAACGAAAAATGGGTCCATTAACACAACTAACTTTCGACGAAGAAAACAAGCTAGCAGACTGGATTTTAACAAAAGCTAAACTTGGGTTTCCAATGCACCCGGAAGAAGTTTATGATACTGTGGAAATATTCTTGAAACAAAATGAGAGGGAGAATAAATTTACAAAAGGCCGACCGGGGAAAAAATGGCTTACTTTGTTTTTGCGAAGACATCCCGAAGTAACTAAAAGAAACGCTGAAATAATATCAAAAGCTAGGGCAGCGGTTACAGAAGAGGCCATCAGAAATTGGTTTACTGAATTGAACAAGTTTTTAGAGGAAGAAAATGCCTTAGACATTAAAGATGACCCGACTCGTATTTTCAATTCAGATGAAACTGGCGTCATGACTTGTCTTAAAACGGGGCTGATTTTGGGGCCCAAAAATTATAAAAATACATACGAAATCGCAAGTGGGAAAGAAAAAGAATCAATCACAGTCCTATGTACATTCTCTGCTGATGGTACTGATGTACCACCGTTTGTTTTGTATCCATATAAAAGAATGCCACCAGCCGTAATTCAAAATTTCCCAGATACTTGGTATATTGGCCGTTCCGACAGCGGGTGGATGGTATCAGTTGTATTTTTACCTACATTAAGTTATTTTATGAATGGTTGGTAAAAAATGAAATCCGGTTGCCTGTATTGCTATTTCTGGATGGCCACAAGTCCCATATCAATCGTGACATGTTTGATTTCTGTCGTGAAAAAGGAATAATGATTTTCTGTTTATATCCCAACTCAACTCATATTTTGCAGCCCTGTGATGTAGGAATATTTGGACCGTTGAAGAAAAAATTGGAAAAGGGTAGTGAGAAAGCATAAACAGGCATCCACTGTACCTATAACAAAACAAAATTTTGCTGCGTTGTTTAAAATAGCTTACGACAGAAGCATTAAGCCAACTACGATAAAAAATTCATTTAGAGTTTGTGGTTTATATCCAATGTCTCCAGATGCAGTTGACTACTCACGCTGCATAAGTAATAGAAGGCAAGAAATTGCGCAACAAAACCAAAAAGGCACCACAACCTCTAGTCTTCATGACCAAAAAAGAGGATCTACGAAGTACGATCAAGGTTATAGAAGGTGAAGTTGGCCAGATGATAAGAAATGAGTTTGTCATGTCTTACAATTTAAACCGTTCTCATCCCCATCAATGTTTTGAGCTGTGGAAAAAATGTAGAAATCAACTTGAGAATAAAAAACAGAGTGACACGATAACATCGAATACCCCGATCATTCCTCTTGATCTGTCAGTATCATCTATAGAAGCGTCTACTTCAAACGAGGACGATTCCAAACTGGAATCAAGCCAGGCACTGGAAAGGAATAGTGTTCCCGAAATCGTCGAGTCTGAAATTACAAATGTGGAAACTGAAGAAATGCATGCAACTAATAGTTCAATTATAATAGATTCGGCAATCCGACTGCCATCGGATAATTCCATATTATTGGGTGAGACTAGTATTTTACCCAATTTACCACCCTTTGATACAACTGAAGATGTCATAGATTTTATTATTCAGAATGAAATAGACATACCTGATGTGATACCATTGCCATGGTATGATACTTTAGAAATAATAGTAGAAAAAGACCCCATTATTGACGCTCCTAATAAATGCTCTTCTCCTCAGAATAACGCATCATCCATACCAGCCATTCCCAGTTGCAGCAATAACACTAATCAAGCAAAAAATTCGCTTGAGTCCACAGTTGATAGTCAGACTGCAATAAAGTCTGTAATAGATCCCACTAATAGTATTAATTCATCGAATGATACAAATCCATCCAATCCACTAGAAGGATTTTTGAAAATACCGGATTTACCACAAAAGAAATTTAAAGTTACAAAAAAAAATGCCTGCACCTTATGGATTAACAGGGCTCAAATACAAAGAATATTTAAAAAATCAGGACGATGAGAAAAAAATTAAGGAGGAAGAATTAGCGAATAAAAGAAAGGAACGAGAAGAAAAAAGACTGAACAAACAAAAATCTCAAAGCAAAAAACGTGTTCAACTGAAACGCCCAAAAAAATCCCCTTAAAAAGCAAGCTAAGAAAATGAAAGTAGAACATGATGATCACACACAACCTGCCGAAGATTTTATAACAACAGATAATTTAGAAGCAAGTGAAGAGACTGAAATAGAAACTAGGAGAACTACTACGACTTGTACTGAATTTAAGGACAATTTATTTGATAGATATGTACTGGTTCAATTTGAGAGTGGAAAGAGAATGCGTCATTTTGTAGGAAAAGTGATAATGGTAAATGACAATGAAAGAAAATATAAAGTAGATTTTCTTAGAAAAAAATCCGTTGTGGAAAATGTTGTCAATTTTGCAAAACCAATAGTGCCAGATATTGCAGAAGTTGATTTCGATGATATTAAACGTGTATTCGGTACACCGAATATTTCTAGGCGCGGATTAATTTGTTTTGACGATTTAGTATTTAAAGATATTGAATAATAATTGTTTTAATTCTTTTGATATTTTTTATAGTGAGAAAAAATGTACTGCTGATTACGCTTATCTCACACTTTATGGTTAGTTTTTAAATTAATAATACCATTAACCGGTTTAGTTATTTTTAGAATGTGAAGAGATTAAGGTATCATATTTTTGTTACGCTTATTGTTGATTAGTTATATTGTAAGCTTAAGGTTTAATTTGATAAGTTTCATAAAAATTGTTTTTATTTGATTTAGGTACAACATGTTTTTTAATCTTTGTTAATTATATATTTTTATAACCAATGATGATTCTAGTCCGCTATTGTTTTAATTATCTAGGTAGAACATAATCAAAGTTCTTAATTAAAAGTGATACCTAAAGCCTAATTTGTAAGAGTAAAGACTGAAATAATGTATCTACTAATGTGATTACCTAGTTGGAATTAAGAGTAGTATGTCGAATAGCATGTAACGGCTACGTTGATTATTCTGTGATTTTAATGTGCCTACAATTTAAATAAAAGTTATGTTTTCGTTTTATTCTCTTTTTTATTTTTTTTATATTTCCCACTGTGTTTTTATAAATATCCCTACACCATCGCTTTCAAATTCATAGTTATATTATTCAAAGAAGTATATAAATTATAAAACCTCATTTAGGGCGCTTTTAGTGTCACGCGGATTTGCTCACGCACGCGGGATTGGACCGCATGCGTAGCATCCGCAAAGAACAATTTCATATAGGTATCTATTGTAAAGCGTGATAAACGCACGCGGGACGCGGGGCGCTGTGCGGGGCGTCACCCCGGTGCGGGGTATCCGCATGCGTAAGCGCTGCCTACAACTTCAGTGCCCATTTTAGAGTCGAGCTGGGCGCACGCGCCGTATTGTACTACCGAAATGAAAATCGATACAGAACGAGTAATCATTGAAGTTCATCTGCGGCCCGTTTTGTGGGATAAACGCAATGAATTATACAAACACAGGGACGCGAGGGAGGCTGCATGGAGAGATATTTTGAAGGAATTGGCACCTAACTACGAAAATTTGAGCGAAGAGGAAAGAAAAGAGGCGGGTATGTGTTTGGTTCATTATTTTATTTATACGAGCATCATTACTTTATTAATATAAGCATAATTATTTAATTCACAAATAACATCAAAAACCTTCTAAAACCTTTTGAGTTTAGTTAATTAATTATATATAGGTGTTGCCAGGAGACTTTTCCTTCATTGATAAAGTAATCTGCAAATATATCTCTGATATTACTTGCCGACGTATTACTACTTTCAGTCTGCTGCCTGGGTAGTGGTCCCGTAAAACCATTTGTGACAAATGTATGGCTGACCTTGTAGCCATCCCGTTTCCTTATGAAATTGTGAAGTACACATGCCGTCTTGACTATTAATTGTGCTAGATCTAACTTGACATTCATGGATCTGTGAAATATTCTAAATTTATTTGACATAATTCCAAAAGTGCATTCTATGTACCTTCTAGCTCTGGACAGACGGTAATTAAATATTTTCTTTTTGTAAGGTAAATTATCACGAGCATAAGGCCGCATCACATGTGATGATAAACCAAATGCCTCGTCTCCCACTATCACGAACGGCAACTTTGCTCTTACACTAGATGGATAAGCTACTTCGGGGCAAATAATAGGCAACTCTTGCGGGTCAGGGATACCCAACGTGTTACTTTCCAGTTTCGTATACAATTGACTCCTTCTAAAGATGGTTGAATCGGCGTTGCTTCCACTGGTACCGACATTAATATATGTAAAATTATAATCAGCATCACACATTGCGAGGAGCACTACAGAATAATATTTCTTATAATTAAAATATAGTGATCCACTGTGCGGCGGCCGAATCACTCTTATATGTTTTCCATCAATTGCACCCAAGCAATTAGGAAAATTTGTATATGTGAGAAATCCCTCTGCGATTTCTTTCCATTTGATCCCATTAAGCTGTGGAATACATTCAGACTTTAGTTCAATCCATATTATGTAACAAACTTGTCTTACTATTTCGCTAATTGTTGCAATTCCAATCACATAGGAATAGTGTAGATCAGTGAATGTATTACCAGTTGCCAAATATCTGAAAACAAAAACAATATATTAATAATATGATAACATAATATATTAATAATGCTGACATCAGACATAAGACAGCATGCACCGCTCGAATTTTACTTCAGAAGAAAAATAAATACCCTTAAGGTGAAAGGGCACGGAAGTAGCTAGCGCTAGAAGTTTTTAATTCGTTTTAACTACAGTACTATAGCTACGTTAGATTTCTATGATTTGCCGAAAATTTTATCATAGGGGGGTATTTATGCAGTTATGATTTCATATGAAAAGTTCGAAGTATAGTTGTGTATCTCATATCTGCTAAAAGTGGCCACTTTTAGCAGATTTGAGACACATAACTGCGGCCTTATTTTTCCACTCTGTATAGGTATATATATATTGCTTGATTTATCTAATGCTTCATGAGACAGTGTAAAGTTGACAACATGTGTGAATTAAGGAGGGCCTTTAATCGAATGCAGTTAAATTTCCAACTAATATCAGATTTGTACACACGGCCACAGATCAAGCTTCCCAAAACCAGTATAAACAGGACTCATGCGTTGTTTATTATCGTAGACGACTCGGCGCCCGGCGAGGCCCTAGCAAGTTCCGTTTATTGGTACTGGTTTTGGGTAACTTGATCTGAAACTGTGTGTACTTTTGCCACTTACTTATTATATTTTGTCATTTCAGACAAGAAAATACAACAACGCTGGCGAACAGCAAGGGACACTTACCAGAAAGACAAGATATCTGAAAAAAATCAGCCATCCGGCTCTGGGAGTAAGAAGAAGAAGAAGAAATATTCTTACTATGACATTTTGACTTTCTTAGACAGTACAACGGAAACTGCTGGAGAAGAGTCACTCTGTGAAGAAATGTCTGAACAAAGTAATTTAGAAACACCTAATGAGTCCACGCAACCAGATACTTCACGTCAAGAAAGTTCTCACCCAACATCAAAACAAAAACAAGTAAAATCTAAAAAAGCAAGCACCATCTGAATTTGAGGCACAGTTATTAGAATGCTTAAAGTCTAATCAACTGGAGCTAGAAAGTGAGGATTTGGCTTTCTTTCAGTCTCTGCAGCCTTCATTAAAAAGATTCACTAGATATCAAAAACTAATGTTCAGAACAAAAGTGTTAAATATAGTTATGGAAATGGAAAGTCAAACACAACCTGCATACTACAGTCCCATACCTACAACAAGTTCTAGTGCTTTTACTGAGCTTGACAGTTTGTCACCGATAAATCAAGATTACCAAACCAATAGTATAATCCAGGATACTTCGAGTCTTAACGACAATGCTATTAGTTCTGCTGCAGTGAATGACAATGAAACTCTTATTTCGACTGAAAGCGGCCTGTTTAATATCACGTCTTATGACGTAATTTATACCCCAGCAACAACATCATCTACAGGCGAAAGTAATGTCAACGCTCAGGATACAAATTTACAAAGAAATGAATGATGTAAAATTTGATTTTTTAATTTATGAATAAAACTCTTTTTTATTAAAATGAGTACGATTAACTTTTTTTCTCCAGTTTCTCTCTAATTGTTTGTTTAGTCATATGAGTGCGGTTGTACACACGGCACAGATCAAGTTACTCAAATCCAGTATAAGCGGGACTCCGACGGGTTACCTAAGTATGATAATACGCAAGGCGCGAGTTCCATTTATGCTGGTTTTGGGTAACTTGATCTGTGGTCATGTGTACTTTATCAGATAAAAAAAAGGATTGTGTATGTAGGTTGAACGTACCAATCCCAAACCAATTAAGGACTTTTTTTGACTTTAAATTACTGTCATGTGCAAACCTATAACTTTTATCTATATTATAATAAGTAGCGTGTGATGAAAGGTAGGAATGATTCCACTTTAATGGCGACATTTTATGAGTGAAATAATCTTATTTAATGAAATTTCAACATGAAATTGAATGAAATTATGAACAATGAAATTTCAGAGTACATGACAAAATTTTTTTTTTGCACATGTAAATTTACACATGACAGTAATTTGAAGTCAAAAAACGTTTATCCTACCTGTTCAAATCCCTTTCCACTAAATCATAGCAGGAAATTAAATATTTAAAATTTAAAACTTACCTTAATGTAATAGCGAGCCTCTCAATCGGTTGTATTGTAATCCTTCGTAAACTGCTTTTTTGTAGCTTATTCTCAATTTTACACAACAGTTCATCAAAAGAACGAATGGACATTCGAAAGTAATTTTTAAATTTACGTTCATTATTTTGTAGTTTTCCAAAGCGTGTAACAAACGCCCCAGCAAGAAGCCTATTTTCAAGAAAGGGATCAACATGTACTCTTGTCTTCTTGTTTCGTCGTTTGTAAAGTATGTAAGCGACACATATTCTTCTGACATTGATCATTTTTGAACACGTCTATACCGTTACGCAGCCCGTAGAAAACTGAAACTCATGCTGCGTATGATCCGCAGCGTGAAATTTTACGCATGCGGTCCAATCCCGCGTGCGTGAGCAAATCCGCGTGACACTAAAAGCGCCCTTACATTTAATAAATAATCAGAAACTTGTGATTTCTAGCTTAATTAGTATCAACAGAAAACGTTCATTCATTGGAGTTTAAAATGTTCATGCACTGGATTTTGGTGTTCATTTACTGGTGATTTTGGGTGCTTTGGCATAAAATGTCGATTATCTTAGTAATTATGTCCTTTAACGGCAGATTGCCCATATAATATTAAACTTGAATAAATTTTGAATGTAATAGAGTGGCATTATTAAAGCACAGCCACCCATATATAGATGCTTATAATTTTCAAAGTTTGAAATTGCCTTAAGGGTTCATTCATTGGTGCACTTACCCTACGACCATTAGTATTGCGAGTGCATTTTACTCGCAGTGACGTATCCTTGAGCGGTTAGAGTTTTATTCGTCTGAGGG